TCTTGAGCCCACGAGTTTGAGGCAAGCCTGGGCAACTCAGAGAGACCTCATCTTGAAAAAACAAAAACAAAACAAAAATACCCCAAAATGCAAGAAACTATGAAAATACTAAAATTTGACAGAGCCACCAGATAGATTCCCAGGTGTTCCTTTATTCTTTTTTTTCTTTTTTTGCATTTGTTTTGTTTCAGTTTTTGGTGTGCTTTCAATGATTCATGATCTACAAAGACAAACTAGGAAATTCACCCCGGGATTATGACATCTCCAGGTGGAAAAGTCAGCATTTCCCGCCGAGGATGTCAATTTTTTGCTCTTTCCTTCCCCTGCCCAGGCTCTGTTTAAACTGTGGGGCTGCCCGGACAAATACCCCAAAGACATCCTGACGTACACGGAACTGGTGCTGGACTCGCAAGACCAGCTGGTGGAGATGAATCGGCTTCCTGGCAGCAACAAGGTAGGAGCTCAGCTCAGCCCTCCGCAACGGTGACCGCCTCTGTGAGATGTTTCCAGTGAGGGACCGCACCGTTTTCCCTGGCCCCTTTTCTCCCTGACAGGTGGGCATGGTGGCTTTCAAAATGACGTTCAAGACCCCAGAGTATCCAGAAGGGCGGGACGTGATCGTCATCAGCAATGACATCACCTTCCGCATCGGATCCTTCGGCGTGCCGGAGGACATGGTGTACCTGCGGGCGTCAGAGCTGGCCCGGGCACAGGGCATCCCCAAAATCTACCTGGCAGCCAACAGTGGGGCTCGAATTGGCCTGGCAGATGAAATCAAACCCATGTTCCAGGTGGCCTGGGTGGACCCAAAGGACCCGCAGAAAGTATGTTGTGGAATGGGGGGTGGCGGTGCTAAGCAGCTTAGCTAATACAGGTTCCAGATTGGAAAAGCTACAAAAGCTCAGGTCTTTTGAGTGCCCATATGATGCTCCTGTGGAAAATTCCACACCCGACATTTCGTGATTGAACTATACCCTAAACACAAATGCACTGAAGACATTGTATAAAACTACACGTAGGCCGGTGAGACAGCTCAGGGGTCTACAGTGCCAGCTTAGGTAGGCTTAGGCAGCCACAGGGGACCACGGTTCAATCGCCCTGTACCACATGCCACGCCAGCCCAGCTGAGCCAGGTCCCCCCAATAATAAATAAGATAAATAAATAAAATAAAATTACAGGTATACATATGAAACAGGCAATTCATTGTTTGGGTCTAAGCCTGGGTTCAACTCCCAAAATATCTCATGTATATGTCAATACTCAGAAAAAGTCTACAATCCAAAGCACTTCTGGTCCCTGTCACTTCAAATAAAAAATACAAAACTTGTACTCTGTAGGTAAGGAATGATTAGACCAGCAACAGAGCAGAAAGAAATTAATTTTCTTTTAATTTTATGAGATAGGGTCTCCTTATGTATCTCAGGCTGGCCTTGAACTCACAGAGATCCTCTTGCCTCAGTGATCCCAGTGCAAGGATTGCAAGCATGCGATACCACACCCAGCCTAATTTCTTATGCATAAAGCGCAGACATACATATTGAGCATAAAAAGATACACATAGATTAGTGGTAGTAAAATGTTACTGGAGCCAAGCGTGGTGGTACACACTTATAATCTTAGTACTCTGGGAGACTGAGGTGGGAACATTGCAAGTTTAACCCAGCCTGGGTGACTTAGTGACTTAGCAAATTCATGTCTTTAAAAAAAAAAATGTTGGGCATATAGCTCAGGGCAAAGGCCCTGGGTTCAGTTCTCAGTATGATAAAAACAAACAACAACAACAATAAAACCGAATGTTTTTTCACCTCCGGGAGATGGTGATTAGGAAAAAATGTCTACAAAGGCTCATAAGGGGTGCGCTAATGAAAAATGGTTTATAAATGCTGAGCCAATATACTGAGCAGTTTTTGAATCCTGTATGCACCATAATGCCCTGGCCTCAGAGAGTCCTTAAAAATCAGCTGGAGATGTACAGACCTTAGCTGGAATAAACAGCCGAATGAATGGGAGAAGAGTGAACGCGTGATGTGACTGCGGGGGATGGTTGTTCCTTCCAGCCACAGCGTGTGTCTTCAGCATGGCGGTGCAGCTTGTCCACCCGTGAGGCTTTGTTTGTTCGCAGTACTGACACTGAACTCAGGGCTTGGTGCGTGCTAGGCAAGTTCTCTGCGCTGGGCTGCACTCCCTGTCCTCTCTTTAATTATATTTTGGACAGGAGGATCACTGAGTCTGAGCTACGTACAGAGATCCTGAACCAAATAATAAAAGATTAAAGTAATAATAAAAAAAAATTATATTTTGAACTAAGGTCTCACCTAGTTGCCCAGGTGACCTTGAACTTGGAGTCCTTTTACTTCAGCTTCCCAAGTAGCTAGGATGGCGGATATACACCACACTAGGTACCTGGAGCAATGTTTATTTGGGCAGGCAGCGAAAATTCTTTTCTTAAACAGGCTGAACATTTCTATTCCAGAAGCCTAAAGTCCAAAATACACCAAAATCCAGAAGTGTTGATAAACCCATAGTTGTAACCACTCACACAGAAGTGTTCAAATAGGATTTCCTGTAACAGGTCACACTGGAAACACAGTTGCTGAAACATGCTTAAAATTGCCTTTAGCCTGTGTCTATCAAGTTCATATAAAACAAAATGAATTTCATGTTTAGACTTGTGTCCCATCCCAAAGATATCTCATTGTTACATACAAATGCAAGGTGTAATGGAAATATGCAGTAAATATTTTATTTATATTTTGTGTGTATGTGTATGGTACCAGGGATCGAACTCAGGACCTTGTGCTTGCCAGGCAGGTGCTTATGCCACTGAACTGTCTCCCTGGCTAAATATACAGTAAATGTTTTAAAAGTTTAAATGCAGTACAGTAAAAGATACATTGCCAAATGTATCTCCCACCAAAGCCCTCCCCCTCATGTTGAGCATACCTGTCCCATCCTTGTCACTTCATGAAGCACTTCTAGAAGTCCTCTTTTGTGGATGTCTTCATGAGATGTGATAGGAACAGGGTGATTTTGCCATGTGTCACCCAACAGAAAAAGGCAGGCTTAGAAAAACAACAGTGGAAGTAGGGGACTGGGGATATAGCTCAATGGCATAAGCACCTGCTTGATAAGTGCAAGGTCCCAAGTTCAATCCCCAGTACAAACAAAAAACCAATGGTGTGTCCTCATTTACCTTACTCTGTGACTTCTGGTTCTCCTCTAAAGTCAAAATGACCACAAAAGGCAGATATTTTCAGTTGATTTAAGATAGTAAGAAAGCCATGACAGTACAAACAAAAGACACTTGTGACAGAGGACTTCCAGAACAGCTTCAGAAAGTGGCAAGAGTAATGGGCTAAAAGCATTCAAAGTCAGGGGACACATTTCAAGGTTTAACACTGTAATGATTCTTTTACTATGATTTTTTGAAAATTACTATTCGCCATATTTTTCAATCATACCTCAAATTGCAAAATTTGAAAATATCTGAAGTTCAAAAGCATTTTTTTTTTTTT